TTTAAAAACTATCTATCCCATAWTCTTTWTAAAAAAGCGCCCATTACATTGCGGCTACAGGAATAGTATGAGGAAGGTGGMATTTTATTTATGGGGAAAATCAGCAGCAACTGCACAGGGTACGGAAAACAAGGATACCCACTGTTGAGAATAAACTACATATACTTGTTAAACAATGGTTTTGAGTGGGCCGTAACCCTCCCTTGAATTTTCTCTTRAAGCCTATAGATGTGACTTTGGAATAATGATTGCGATATCTAGGGCATGACGCTCTGAAAGTCTGAAAACCTGGTCCAGGTTGATCAAAGCTCAATGAGAGCTCATCCTACATTAACTCTTAAAAAAGTTAACCCTGGTCCTGATCGTTATTAGTTATATTATAGCTGTCGAGGTGGAAGAGGGTCCTTTGTTTTCTCAATTCTGATGGACAATGAAGAATAAATCATTAAATCAACAAACGACGGAAATCTCCAATTTAGGTCTCTGAGATAAGTTTTTATTTCAAAGATTGAAAATTATATAGAATATATACACTAATACGTTCGATGGTGGTACGTGGACGTTTTGCACAGTATACTGGTTAGTTGATCAGGAGGAGCCGGCGGGGTCTACTTATCTAAATAACCGTTCTTGTACGATTTTTTTTCCTGGGAAACGATTTTGAGATACATTGTTGACAATCTCACAAGCAAATGTGGTCCCTTCCTTCTTTAAAATAATTATGTTCCTTTCAAACGTTTTTATGGTAAAAAACGGCTTATTTTTTTTGTTATTAAATTTTTATTTTCTTGGAAAAAAACTGATTCTTAGTGAAATATTCCTTGCCTGGAGAGTTCCTTTTTCCTGAATTTTTCGGTGGCAACCAGTTGTGACTTARAGCTGGCTGGGACATAAGAACAGATATATTTCTCCCAGGAACCCGTCGGCTCCTCCTAGTTGATTGTTTGACAAAAAGTGGAGAAAAGAAGGTCTTAGTATTTTCAAAACCACGATATCTTTGGATTTGATCTAGAACTTTAGAATGACCAGAAGGAAGTCTGGTCCCTATGTAATTAATATTGGGAAAGAAACTTGATTAAAATCACGATATCTACCCAAACWGCCCTATCTGCTAGTGATAACTAATTAAAGCTTGTCATATACCTTGACAAGAATAYAGATATTGAAGTATTGAGCTATCTTTGTGTATATTAGATTTAGTTAAAAGAGACTTGAARGAATATAAAGGGATCAGTCTTGGTATAAGTCAAGTTTGGCATCCCGAGATACCGCACTCCATTAAGGTAAGCATGCCTTGYATAGAGCGGATTTCGTATGAGTGGGACACCGTTACCGCACGGTTACCGCACCTGGCCTGCAGAATTTTGGTGAAACAATGGGGCACTAGAATTTGGTTACAGTACGATTACGGACACAGTACAGTACCGTCCGTTTCCCACTCATACGAAATCCGCTCTACAACTGTATCGTTCGTATGATATATTTTGATTCAAACGCGCTGTAATTGMTCCAGTAGCGTGATTGGTTCACGCTTATCAGTGCCTAGGTAACTTAGGATGTCCTTTATATCTTGAATTTTACACCCRCAATGTACAAAAACTGATAGAACTTCTTTAATAGCCAATGATTTTTTWAAACTTAATTTGAAAAATACTTAAAAATATAAACYSCTCTTTGCTAKTTCATGAGGTCTGGTTGATGCCTCTCAAGCTCATTGCAGACCCCCTGTTATTKGTGGGAATGTAGTTACATCTGCGTGACTATAAACAAGGATTCTAGCCGTCCCAAGAGAACAAAAACCTTTTGATTTGTCCTCTAGATAAAGCTGTCTTCTCACTTACAAAGGGGTTATTGCTAAATGACGATTTCACTGTCACTGATAAATTTTTAGTGGTGATATCTTTCCCGTAACAAGAACGTCAAACTTTATTATAATTATATATCAGTAATATCTGTATAAACTTAACAATATCACATAAAATTTGTATACTACTTTAGGAATAAAGGCTTCTTTACGAATGGTCAAAACGTTTCCGTCTCAAGAATTTTAAGTCATTTTTAAATGATAATATTAAATATTAAAATTTTTCTGTTTCTTTTTCTTTTTTTGTTTGCTTCCTTTTTCAAATTATTTCAAACGACAACATGAATTATGACATTGCTTGACTCTTTGTTGGATGGCTGCATACAGCAGGTGATGCYAGAGCCTACAAGCAGATGTACAACTTGATGAAGAACAACTATTTCATTATGTCTGCCAAGTGGTTTTGACAAGTGATAATTTCATACTTACAATATGATGGTACATTTCGCTCTCTTTAATTTTTCATATCCTGTTCCATTGTCTTTGTCATTTTTTTAAATTTACATTTTGACTTCTTTATTTTTGTGGTTTATTTTTGTGGTGTTTTTGATTTTTTGGTTTAATCACATTTTACAATATTAKATAATTATTTGGTTCAATATTGTATTGCAGTTAATTGAAGAAATTCTGGTCACTAACTGATATAAATATTATCAATAAATAYGGTAGTCAATATTTCAAATTTAAACCTGCGATTTGAGGGAATAATTTTTAACTAGACCCTGTATGCAGGGTTGACACGTACCCTTTGTTGTGCATGATGTTGTGAAATCATTAGTAAATGAGGCCTTAAACCTAACTGATACAGAATAAGGAAATGATTTGATCCATCGAGCCTTGCCAAGATATATGTGATTTTTGCTATAAGCTTATATGTGGTGGCTCTTAAAATTTCAGCTGCCTTTGTGATTCTGCAGTATAATTTTAAGGTCAGATATACCCGGAGATATATAACTAGGCATGATTTGGTTACAACGTGAGGCTTTATTAACTTTTGATATGATAGTAACAGAATATTTTTGCACATCTACATTAAAACTCGACATATCTATTGCAGATGTTTGAATAGCCATGGAATTAATAAGCATTTTCTAAAGAGTTGTATTGATATTCAATCATTATAATCGTTGCCGTTGCTTCACGAGTACTAAGCGTGTTGATCTCTGTAGTGAGATATTCTCGTCATCACAATTCAACATACCCTTGGTCCGAACACCCAGACAAGTAATGAGTTCCAGGTTTTGGTCGTAAACCTTCATGTTCTGTTCCATATTCGTTAGTAGAGACAATATTCATCAAAATGGCGGATAAAACATTGTGCAGAACGAGTTGGAAAGGTTGCGAACGGGATTATCGACAGGCTATAGCGTTCGGAATACACAACGTAATGTGATTGGCTACCGGATATATAATTCACAATGTGATTGGCTACGAAGATGTACCGAAGCCAAACTTTCGACATTGTGAAAAAAAAAAGAAAAACAAAAACAAAAACCAAGAAAGTGACAGCATTTTACTACACGTACCCCCTGCATAGCAGGGTACGTGTAATAAGCAATTTTAAAGAATTTGAGTGATTTGCGATCTGTTTTAGCGAGAAAAGAGCYAGAATCACATTTCAAATTACCGATTAATGCACCTGTTACAATGACATATGATAGTAGTTAGTATTTTTTCAGTGACTGGTCGTTATTTATAATTACTGTAATAAGATTGACCATATGAAAAACGACCAGAAGACTGTGAATGAGTATCTCAAACGATCCAGATCAGTTTAAAAATCTGTTTTTACTATTAAACAGTATTAGATCTAAACTAGTAAACTGGATGAGTTTTATTTTCTAATTTTAAATATCGGCAGAGCTACGAGCCTTTTAAAGATCCGAAAAACGCGAAAACGAGGCTGGTAAGGCCTCAATACTGATTTTCACTCAAACCTTTCCAATTTCAAACACTTGTAATTTCTGGTCCTTAAATGAAGGGCATTCAAACTTTCAGATTTTACTCATTATAATATGTTCTTCCAACGAGTAGTAATGATATATTGTACAACATGTAATATATGGCGTTACGATAGCCACGCCCTTTTTCATATGGTCTATAAAAACAAATTTTTACATAAAAATGTCTAACATTGWCGAATAAGTTACTGAACATAGACATGCGAGGAGTATATCTCCCATCATGCTTTGCTGCACAAAATGGCGTCGCTGGGTCATGCATGCCGTTATGCCATCTTGTGATACGTTATATTGTTTTCATTATTTCAGATGTCTTTCAAACCATTCATATCTTCACTTGCGATCAGCTTGTTGCTGCTGGTTCTCGTATGTCAAGTTGTTCACGGTACACACAAAATAACAACCAGGAGTCTAAGGAAATACTGTGGCGAAGAATTRATCAACATGTGGTCGAAATGCTGTAACAATAACCCAGACTGTGAAAATTCGAAACGAGAAGTTGAAGGTAATTTTTGCTCGTTATTACAATGCCCACACATGACCATTTTACGTTTGTTAAAAAGTATAGAAATGAAGAACCAAATACATATGATATAAAGCAAACACATTGTCTTCCTGATATTTTTCTACGGTCTTATTTCACGGAATATCCTCCTTCTCTATCACTATAACAGCTATAATTTTCTATTTTTTCTATTTCAACATTGGACAAGATTAATATCATTCAAAAATACTGTTCTGTGTATCTAATGAATGCGGCACATGCCCGTCTACCCTCTGTCCCCTTCCCAAATTCAGTGTTGACAGGAAAGTTTCGATTCATCTGAGTTTCGATAACATTGATGGAAAGGTCCTAAAATTCGCATCTGCTCTTGCCAATATAAAAAATGCTCTGAAAAAAGACCAGATTACTAACTATATAACGTCCAAGAGGGATTTTCAAGGGAGTAAGAATCCCATTTTATATCTCTAACAGCCTCCAAATGAAAAGAAAAACATATTCCAACCAGTTTTGTTTCAATTCTAGTCCCAGCGTGTCCAATCGTACTTTCAAATCAAAAATAAGGCTTATCCCGGACCCATTTTGGCTTCAAGACCTTTAGGTAAATAAATAAATCAGTCAAATCAATTGACTGAACAGCAAAACAACTAATCAATTGATTTATCAGCAACCCTGCACCAAACAGAACACCAACACAACCACATGACTTATGATAACAGCTCGGAAAGTAGTGGGGAGGGTTGAGGGTGATGGTGTCGAAAAGAAATCCTGCACAGGGAGCCCGAAACCAATATATAAGATCCTGAAGACAATTTTCTCTAGAAATGAAATTCTGCAAAATTGTCTTATTAACAAGTAACTTTTGTCACTATTTTTCTAAACAGTTTTGCTTGATTCTCCTAATATTGCGAATAAGTTTCTTTGGAAGTCGTCTGGTCGCCGTAATTCCATCATGACTAAACGTGGTGCTGGAACAGATGCTGTCGAAGAATGTTGCGCCGAAGGCTGTTCACTCTCCGAAATWGCTGAATATTCTTGTTGATGAAGAATTCTCCACAAGAAGCCGATAACACACGTGACTTTCTAACAAAGACGKCGCACAAACATTTGATWCATACCCGTATGTATATCGATCTCATGCGCTGTTAGAAGAGTCTTCGCTATGACAATGTTTGGGAGGCGAGAGAACGGAAAGGGATTACAAGAAGAAACCTTATTAAACTCAATGAATAAACTTATTGCAACAGAAAAGTGTATTATACTACATAAAGAAATGAGCCAAAAAATCAAAAAGTTTATTAG